TTGAAAATGAGGCTAACCACTGCACTAGTATTGACATTGCCCACAAGTACGGAAAATTTTATAATTTTCAGTGATGCATCTTATAAAGGTTTGGGTTGTGTACTATATGTGTGATAACCCTGTTCCGTAGGTGAGGCAAGGGAGGTCCAAACCCAGCCTCAGTGAAATTTGTGTGGAACAACCAAGGTTTTGAAGAGTCAGCCCTTACGTCTCACGCACGAGGCCTATCTTCATCCTTTTGCTATCTTGTTTTATTTTGTCATGTCGGCGAGGACTTTGAATATGTTTGTGCATAGTTTTGATTGGCTGACTTAGACTTGAATGATCCTGTATGTACAGAACTTAGTGATAGTACACATTTTGATGTGAGTTATTAATATGTATATGTATGGTTTGTTATGATGTGCCATGTAAGCATAGCTCTATGGACAAAGTTTTAAATCTTGCTTCCGTTTGGCCCCTTCACTCTAATGAGTTGTGTCTAGTTTGGTTTGAGGCCGTACGTGATCTCAGGATTACTGGCCGGTTATGTCCTTAACCCATGGGGGCGGGTTCGGGTCATGACAATATGCCTCAATTACAACCTCTATGATCTTTGGTTATGACCTATTGTAATAATTTGGTCATGACTTGATTATATACAAATTGTGGTGTTAATTGTGATATTAGTTATAATTTTAATTTAGTTATGATTCAAAACGACTTTATGTCTCATATATTGCTTGATTATGAATATTTTAAAGGATTTAATTTTGATATTTATGATAATAAACTTTACAAATGTCATAACTTGCATACGATACATATCTAATATGCAAAGAATATTCAAAGTGAGACAGCTAGATTAACAATTGTTATGAAGATTTGTAAAAAGAGAGAACTTGAATAACATGAACTACAACATAATTAAAATATAGCTTGACAGACATTCTTTTAGATATTTTGCACAAATTATTTTTGGTTTCTTTAATTTATATTACACAGATTCCTCCAAGTTCACCTGATCATCTACAAAAACCAAACATGTTGCTATAGGCATTTTTGCTGGAAGAATGGGCAATGGAGCTTCAAAATTAAGAACATGAATTGCTTGGCTAATTGAAGGTGGAAGATTCTGATCCGGGTGAGCACACCAGAGCCCAACAATCATCAAGCATTCCATTTCCTTCGGATTGAAATCTGGGCAAATCTTCGTGTCCACCGCCGCTTCCAAAAGCCTATTGGTGCCGTAGAGGTCCCAAACCCACTCCACCAATACCATCTGACTTTCTTCGACATTTTGGTCAATGGGTTTTCTTCCAAAAGCTATCTCCAACGCCACAATTCCAAAACTGTAAACATCTGATTCTTTACTAGCTTTGCCTATAACTAAGTATTCAGGTGCCATGTATCCCCTTGTCCATTCCAAAATGGTCGTTTGCGTATTTTTCCCGTGGTCGACAAACCTAGCTAATCCAAAATCCCCAAGTTTAGTATTGAAATTTGAATCCAACATGACATTGTTCGATTTTACATCTCTATGCACCACGCATTGTTTCCATCCTTCGTGTAGATATAACAATGCTGAGGCCAAGCCTTGTGCAATTTTGTACCTTACTGCCCATGTCAACACGCTTTTTTCATTGAAGAGATGGTTATCTAAGCTTCCATTTTCCATGAACACATAAACTAGTAGGAGTTCATTTTTTTCATGACACCAACCAAGTAGTTGCACCAAATTTCTATGCCTTAACCGACTAATGATCTTCACTTTAGATGCATACTCCTTTATTCCTTATTTTGATCCCTTTGATATCCTCTTCACAGCAACATAGGAATTTGATTCCCTCAAGAAACCTTTATAAACCCCCACCAAATCCTCCCTCTCCAAGTTTCTGTTCATCCACGAAGTTATTCATTGCATGAAACAATTCAGCATATGAAAACTTATTTGGTCCGATACCTGCATCGAATTCATCGTCCATCGATATGTCAGGGGCAATATTCTCCCCATCCTCTTCTGGTGCTCTACTTTTCTTCCACTTGACAAAGCCAAACAAAGCCAACCCACCAACCAAAGCAGCTGATCCAACACTCAACCCCACAACCAGAGCATTTTTGTTGTTTCCACGCTTCTTTCTTGGGCTAAAGGTAGCATTGGGGCTTGGAATGAGACTGAAACTTGGACTTGGACCAGGACTAGCTGGCACATTAACTTGCAAACTCGAATTGAACAACCATGATTTAACAATATGACTCTCATACGAATCTCCTGTTCCAGCTGAGAAGCCTACTGTAACCCATTCTGGTAAGTGCTCTCTCAAGTCAACCAAAAAATTAAGACTAGTTTCAATTATGTTATTGTCTTTGTATCAGGTGAAAACAACACTCAAATTTTTCGAACTAGAATTATAACTAATCCAAGATTCATTCTCTTTCCCCTACGTTATGTTATTGTACCATACTGCAGCAACATTAGATGTAATAGAGCTGATATCAATACCTACATGAGTTGTTGGTGTGATGTTGAGTGGGTCCCATTGCCAATTCTGAAAGGTATCAAACTCCACAGCAACAAATGGAGTTGATATGGGAGGAAAAATTGACAAGATTGGAAGACCCATGGCCGCACCTTTTGCGTTCATGGGAGTAGAATTGTTAGGAAGAAAGGAGAATGCGAGCCCATCTGCAAAATTCGAGTTTCCTTCTGAATCAATTATGAACGAGAAATGGGTGTTGAAGTCCGCTAGTGTTCTGGAAGCTATGTCCCCAAGGTGAAGAGGATATTTATATGTAGCTCGACCTGCTTGCCAAGTTTCCTTTGGAGGGATGATTTGGATTCCTTCTGTGGAAACATTAGCTTGTCCTTCTACTATGATGGAGCTATTTGTTTCATTAAAATTGGTGAAGTTGAAGTTCAGTGCAGTTGCATGGAGAGGAAAGTAGATGAAGAAGAAGAGAGAACAAAGCAGAATAGGTAATGAGAGGGGTTTCATGGCCAAGAGTTGCAGACAGTCATAGCCTTGATTGTTTGTGATGAAAATTAAATATTTGATGAGTGAATTTGACATATATTAAACAACAATAGGAAATAGGTCATTCATTGTTCCAAAGTCTTGTTAAAGTCTTTTGTGTATTGTTTCTAAATACATTTTTTCTGTAGTTGTGTGGGGTAGGTAATCCATATGGGTCATTTGGAAGACCAATGTTGTAATTATTTGTGGGGTCACTACAGGAAATATAGGATTTAACGGCGTTCATTTAACGGCGTTTTTTTAAACGTCGCTATTTTTAACATTTAACGACATTTTACAAACGTCGCATTTTATTTTGAATAAAACGGTACCGTTTAGGGAATCGAAGTCGTTTTTTAAATGCCTTCACATGTGTTACAATAATGTTATTCCTTGCTCTCTTTCTTAGCTCTGTGAGAATCAGAGGACCCTTCTCTCTCTCTCTCTCTCTTCAAGCCCTCATTTTGAATCTGGGAAACCTTTAGTCTCAGAGAAACCAATTCCTCAAAACTCACTCACCCGATCGCTTGCTCTCTCTCTAAACCCTTCAGTCTCAGATATTACGATTCAACCTTCTTCAGCACGGTTTCATCTCAGATCCAATCTCAGAGTGATTTCGATTTCGAAGTTCTTTCTTTCTCTCTCTCTCTCTCTCTCTCTCTCTCTCTCTCTCTCTCATTTTCGAAGCTCCACCGCCACCACCATCTGCATCGTTGACTAAGGTAGGCACCACTGTCTACAATCTCAATTTCGTATTCTCTCTCTCTCTCAAGCTCTTCTTTCTATCGATTCTTCTCCTAGGGTTTACATATGTTTAAGATTTCAAATCTGAGATTTCTCATTCAAAAATATATGTTTTAGATCTGAGATTTCTTATTCAAAAATATATGTTTCAGATCTGAGATTTCTCATTCAAAAATACATGTTTATGATTTGACATTTCTCATTCAAAAATATTTGTTTGAGATTTGAAATTTCTCATTCGAAAATATATAGTCTTTCCTCATTAAAATTTTCATTCGAAACAATATCCTGTTAGATATGAGATTTTCATTCTAAAATACATGTTATGATGATTAAAAGTCAGAGCAATAGAAATCTAGAAAATCATTTTCTTTTGTGTTGTTCTACATTGCTGAGTTGATGGCACAGCCCTTGACTAGCTAGAAACCAATTATTGGATTTGGAAGCCTAGGGTGAAGTCTGTGAGCCCGAAGACCTTTTGGTCATATAAATGTCATTGGTAGATAATAATAATTACCATTGGTATTTAGTTTAATTATATGATTATTAGGAAGATATTCTGATTTTGTTTCCAAATGATATTTGGGTGGAGAGTTTCCTATTTTTATTAAGGTCGATATGCTATGGTTTGTAGTATAATAATAAGCTTTTGATTAATGATACTGATAGTGTTTTACGCTGTAATAGTTTGTGCTTTACCTATCTCGTTCTACACCATGAGTACATAATGTATTACCTTACAATTAATCTGTGTCAATGTGTGTATTGTTATGTGCCTAACATGGATACTTCACACATACAAAAGTCCACGTTATACACTCATGCACAATAATGTAACCGGTGCCTCTATGCATATTGTATCGTGGATGACATGAGTCCTGTACAAGCATCACCATTGTTGTCATAGATTCATTTTATTTAATATTGAATTGTGAATTGTAAGATTCATTTTATTTAATATGACATATACTTTTGTATATTTATAAACATATAAAAATGTACACTTTTTGAAATAAAGTAAATTATCAATATGACTAAATCGTATATGTGCATATACGTATAAAAGCAAGTATATCAATATAACGAATTAATCTCTTCTATATATCTTAGAGGTTTGGCAAAAATGATGTCATTTCATTGGTGATTTTTTTACTAGCGATGGGGTAGATCCCCTACCCATTCCCACCAAATTTCGCTTCTTTCCCCAACAAGGACCACTCTGCATGCACATGTAGTTATACATTCCACTCTAATTTTTAGTTTGTCTGCAGTGGTTGACTTTCATTGATTCCGAAGGATGAATCATAGATTCAAAAGCTTTAAGGAAGAGAATATTTTATGGGGGAGTTGATCCCGGACTGCGGAAAGAGGTTTGTATATTGTAGTAGGAAGAAGTGGCATGCTGATCTTTTATTTTTCTAGGTTGAATGTGCATTTTTGTTAGTGAAACTTTTTTTTAATGATTACAGGTTTGGCCTTTCCTATTGGGATATCATGCATATGATTCAACATCTGCAGAGAGGGAATATCTCATGTCAGTTAAAAAGTCAGAGTATGAGGCTATTAAAAACTAGTGGCAGGTTTGTTGTTAATTTTAGCTCAGTAGTCAACACATTTATTCATCCTCCCATGTTTTGATGCTGGTACATGTTGTGGTCACTCCCATAGCAAACGCCCACATGCTTTTCATGCAAGCAGTTAACTAGTTTCAACTTGTGGCACTTCTGAGATTCTAGCTTTGCATTTATCTTGAATTGCCTGTGTTAAATTGCTATATAGAAATTCAGTTTTATGATTATTATTGTGGTAGACTTGAATAGGTGCCTTTTTCTTGTCATATATGAGGTCAGGTTTGGTTAGTAAGCCAATACAGCTTCCTAACCAAACTTGACCAAGGTTTAATTGAGGGAGTTGCTAGCTATCCAAATTGGAGCAAACTTCTCATCTGTTTGCATAGCTCAAGCTTTTATATTTTCAGAGTATACAGACTACTAGATTTGTAGGAATTCAGTGTAAGATATTAACAGGGGATATTTGGCTAGGTTCTAGGTTCTAGTTTGATTGTGTTCAAACCTGAAGGCAGACACTATGTGCATCTGATGTTTATGTATATTTACATTGTGGTTTCTTTCAAACAAACTTTTTACGTGCTTAACATGCTTATATTCTTTTCTTCAGAGTATCTCCAGAGAACAGGCAAAAAGCTTTACAAAATTTAGGGAGAGGAAAGGCCTTATTGATGAAGATGTGGTATGCTGGAAAATGCCTCATTTTTTTCCTTTTGAATTAACTTTCTTTAGATGAATTTGGTAATTCACCATTCATTCTATTTTCTTGCTCAACTAATTCAACTCATGGGTAATTACAGGTATTGATTTGGCTGTAAGAAATCCTCAAGGGACCGCCAGGTCAATTGTAAATGGAGCAGATCAAGCAAAAAGAGGAATGGTTTAGCTTTGCGAGCCCCTTTCACTTACATTTGACCATGTGAATTACTATGTGGATATGCCTGCAGTAAGTCTCTGCAACCCAGAGATTCATATTTTGAGAACATGATAACATAACACAAAATTTCCAAAGGAAAATTAAAAATTGACATGAATTTAAGTAATACTAATTTGTTTGCACTTTTGGTTGTAATTAGAAAATATTTCAATTCAACTTTTTGATATTTAAATAAGTTTATCAATATTTTTAAAGTTCCAATCCATCATGTAGCAAAATTAAAAGTAGGTTCTCTATATCAGGAAATGAAGAGTCAGGGAATCGATGAAAATCGTCTGCGATTGTTACGGGATGTCAGTGGTGCTTTCAGGCCCGGTATTCTAACAGCACTAGTTGGTGTCAGTGGTGCTGGAAAGACCACATTGATGGATGTGTTAGCAGGGAGAAAGACTGGAGGGTATATTGAAGGAAACATAAGCATTTCTGGTTACCCAAAGAATCAAGAAACGTTTGCTCGAGTCAGTGGTTATTGTGAACAGAATGACATCCATTCACCATTTGTTACTGTCCATGAATCTCTCTTATACTCTGCCTGGCTGCGTCTTTCTAAGGATGTGAAGACAGAAAGAAAACAGGTATGTAACTGAATTGCTTGAGTGTGTGCCACTATGAGATTTCAATGTGGTCTATATTAATGCGAAATTTTTTGTTTCTTTGTTATGGTAGATGTTTGTGGCAGAAGTTATGGATCTTGTTGAGCTTAATACCTTGAAAAATGCTCTAGTTGGACTTCCAGGAGTAAATGGTCTTTCAACTGAACAGCGAAAGAGGCTCACCATTGCTGTTGAGTTGGTTGCTAATCCCTCCATCATCTTTATGGATGAGCCCACATCAGGCCTTGACGCAAGAGCTGCTGCAATTGTCATGCGTACTGTGAGGAACACGGTGGACACAGGGCGAATTGTTGTCTGCACCATTCATCAACCGAGCATAGATATCTTTGAAGCTTTCGATGAGGTATGAACTCGATTTTATATTTTCTGCAAATGAACATCATCGTCTCTTTGTGCTTTCTGATTGACATTAATAATTTCTTCCTTGCAGCTTCTATTGATGAAGAGAGGAGGGAATATGATATATGCTGGACCTCTCGGTCGCCATTCTCACAAGCTTGTTGAATATTTTGAGGTCAGTTTTCATTTTCCTCCATAGCTAGTTTCTAAAGAGTCATCTATTATCAATTTGAAAGTTCGAAATATGATGAATCAATACCTTCTCCTGAAGGCTGTTCCAGGGGTTCCTAACATTACTGAGGGTTACAATCCAGCTACTTGGATGTTGGACGTTAGCTCTACTTCAGTTGAGGCACAACTTGATGTTGACTTTGCAGAAATTTATGCCAATTCTGGCCTCTACCAGTATGTTTATAGACAGTACTGAGTCCTTTACACTTTATCACCGTCTCTCTCTCTCTCTCTCTCTCTCTCTCTCTCTCTCATTGTCCGAGTGCGTGCTGATATTTCTCATGATTTTCTTTTCCAAGAGAAATCAGGAACTTATCAAGGAACTAAGCACTCCAGCACCAGGTACCAATGACCTCTACTTCCCTACCAAATACTCGCAATCCTTACTAACTCAATGCTTGGCTTGCTTCTGGAAACAACACTGGTCATACTGGAGGAACTCACAGTACAATGCTATCAGATTCTTCATGACAATTGTCATCGGTATTATTTCTGGTGTTATCTTCTTAGGCAAAGGAAGCAAAATGCAAGTCTATAATTTTGGCATTTACACTCTAGTTATCACATTTGTGGTAATTATTATTATTATTATCAATTGACGTCAATACTAACATGAAGATCAATTGTATAATTTTTGGTCAACAGACACCAACAACAAGACTTGCTTAATCTGCTTGGAGCTACCTATTCTGCTGTCCTTTTCCTTGGAGCCTCCAATGCTAATGCGGTGCAAATTGTTGTAGCAGTTGAGAGAACAGTATTTTACCGTGAAAGGGCAGCTGGGATGTATTCAGAGTTGCCTTACGCATTTGCTCAGGTAAAGGATAAAAGACATTACATCACATCTCTCTCTTCTTTTCGCTAAGAAGAATGTGTATATATGGTCTCCCACATCCAATATTTACACGGTACTTTTTCTATTACAGGTGGCCATAGAAACAATTTATGTTGTAATTCAGACCCTTATGTATGCTCTTCTCCTTTACTCGATGATTGGCTTTGAATGGACATATTGACTGTCTTTTTCTATCTGGATTAATTTATCTATATAAAACAATTATTCATTACACTTCTGGGTTTCCAAGTATACTCACATATCTTAATTTTAATTTCCATTTTCAAAAATTAGAGAGAGAAGTATCTGGAGGTTCATACTTGGATCTTTGACTTTGATGATTATATATAAGGCCTTTTTTGGTTTTACTTTTGATGATACTGCCCTCTTTTTATTGATTTTATTGTGTAAATGAAGTATCTGCTGCTCAATATTCGAGCATTACAGTGGACATATATTACATTATAAAGCTGAGCAATCTTGATTTTTGTTTGTTTGGTACTTAACAATCTTGAATCTTCCCATACATGTGTTGTGAGGCCAATTTATTTTTTCTGAATCTTCCCATACATATATTGATGCAAGTAATTTAATAATACCAACCTTAGCCCATACTTTAAATAAATGAAAATCAGTTAGCACAAAAGTATATGCATTTATTTTTAAATAATGTTAACTCTATTAAATTGTTTATTTGAGATCTTTGTTCTCTATTAGGCCAAAAATGAGTGAAAGTCGCAATGCTCCCCGTTTAAATGAGAGGATCCTATCATCTTTATCCAAAAGATCAGTTGCTGCACATCCTTGGCATGATCTTGAGATTGGTACAACATAATGATTATCTTTCATAATTCAGAATAACTTGTATATTAAATTGGTGAGGATGTTAATCATTTTGCAAAATCTTTGCTGCAGGACCCGAAGCACCCCACATTTTCAACTGCGTAAGTCTTTAATCCAACAAGCATCACCAAAGGAACACAACCTTCAAGCCAAAATCTGAAAATTGCCAGATAAAATAAGACCACATTAAATTATCAAAATTTAAATCATTAGTTAAGATCACTGATTTTTCCCCCTCAAGTTTCTCTGAGAATTTCTCTTTCCCAACAGACAGCAAACATTGCAAAGACCTAGTTGTACTCAATATAATTTTGAAATCTAGCTAGCATTTCTTTTTACAAGTTTGGTCCTTCCCAGTTATGATATATGCTTACTGAACTGTCAGCTTAATTTCTTGCTACAGGTTGTCGAGATAACAAAAGGAAGTAAGGTTAAATATGAACTCGACAAGAAGACAGGGATGATTAAGGTATGAATGAACTCACAGCTGAAACAATTTATGTTGTAATTCAGACCTTTATCTATGCTTTTCTCCTTTACTCGATGATTGGCTTTGAATGGACAGCAGTCAAGTTCTTCCAAATTGTTTGATTATTCTTTGAGTATTTATTTTCTATTGTGACTGTACAAAATGCTTTAATTACAGAACTTGCACTTGCACTTGCTTGTCCTGTCCTTATACTGAAAATTGGGTAAGCATTGAATCTTGTTGCGCATCCTACTACAGTATTCTTCCATATTTTTTTTCTTCATGAATTGCTAGTGGCATTCAAGTTTTTGAGACATTTATTTATGTACAACGAGTGATGGGCATGCTTACTCTTCTATACCAATGCTGTAGATTTTCCATTTGTACCCAATGTTTATTCATGCAGAGGCATAAGGCTTTATTTGCTCAGAAACTATTGTTGGGTGATTTTAATCTATAGAGGAATTTGAAGCCTTGTAAACCATTCTCCAACCAAATTTTAATGTCTCATAAAATTCTACATGTTCAAGCATCTCTTGGAAGAAAAAAAGAAGGAAAAATTAGTTGGGAAAGTGGAAGGGTTATGTGGATTCACATTAAGATTTTCTCAAGTATATTCCTTGTTTTGTTGGTCCAAACCATCTGCCTGTACTTGTGGTTGAAGTGATATTGGTGTGTTTAATGCTTGTAATTTTATCATCTCAGTGTTGATTCCTCTTTTTTTTTTTTTCCCATAAAAATGGAGTCAAAAACAAAAGGAACCCACCTCCTCACAAAAGGGAAGTAGAATTTGGAGAAAACAAAGAAAAATTGAACATTTAGAGTTTCAAATTTATTTTAGTGCTTTTAGATGGCTACATGATTTTATTAGACTGATATTGGACATGTTTCAATTGATGCCGAAACCTGTATCATAGCTAGATAGGGGCACTTTAAATTTTACATATATGTGTGTGTGTGTGTGTGTGTGTGTGTGTGTGTTTATGTATTTCATAGGTAACAGAGACTTAATAAGGCTAATTCTTTTATGTGTATTTCATAGGTAACAGAGACCACATGGTGGGTTGGGTTAACTCACAGTTCCGCAGCCTTCTTGTTAAGGTTAGTGTCTTGATCTCATTTTAGATTATTAACTTCTTGTTGATAACTGCTGTGATTGTTTAGGCAACTACATTTGTATTCTCTGTACTTACTGGTTGTGTGGTAAATTTGTCCTTGTTAACACCTATTTTGGTGAATGCTTGGTAGGTGACAGCACAAGATGTGTCAACCATGCTGAGATGTGAACAAAGGACCATCATCTTCCTTATAGAACCCGGGAATTTTTGTTTCTTAGTAGATGCTTTCATAGTACTTGTATGTATAATTAGTTTGAATTGCATCTTTTGTGCCGATTTGTTTTGTAATAACTTTCAACTTACCACTAGGCACTAGGTTAACTTTATTTCATCTTGGAATTGAAATATTTTTGCGTATTGAGAAGCATGAATTGATCTAGTATTATGTTTACCTAAATTTAGTCAATATATTGTATATTTTTCATCTTTATAAAAGGGATTTTTTTTGGGTTAAATCTCACAGAATTAGCACAATTTATTATTATTTTTTTTAAAAAAAAATGAAGTTATAACGGCGTTTTCAATACTAACGGTTATATTTTTAAAATAAAAATGATCTATCACGGCGTTTTTAAAACATCACTAAATGTGGAGTGACGTCATTGCATGATCATGAAGCACATTTAGCGGCGGTTTTTAAAACACCGCCTATACTGATATAGCGATGCTTTTAAAGCGTCATAAAGTTACAGCGACGGCCGCATCTTCGGCGTTTGGTACTAAACATCACAAAAACAATTAGCGGCGTTTTTTAAACGCCACTAAAAATTTAATTTCCAGCAGTGGGTAATGTTAGGAATACCAAATTTTTTACCAAACAAATAACCAAATGTTTCACATGGGGTGGGGTCCGCAATTTTATAGACCCCACATAAATATTTAATCATTTATTTAATAGAAAATTTGGGACGTATAGCATTTTCCTTATCTGTGTGGGTTTCTTTGACCAGGTAAACTATGGTGGCTGCAGTAAGTACCAACATATATATATATATATATATATTCTTTAAAGAGATATATATCTTGTTGGAACTTTGTTGAATCAGTCTTTGTGCACTGTTTCATTGCTTGTATCTTTAGAGGTGTTTTTCTTTCATATCATAATCTGAATTGGAAGGTGGACTAAATCTATCATAGGTTTCGTTTCATTTTCTCAAATACTTGATGTATTTTATTTACATAAAAAAATTAGGTAATCATAAATTTAAGGGTAAATTATAAACACACTCTTTGAGTTTTATTTAAATTACAAATTACTCCCGTGGTTCTAGAAATTACATTATGCCCCATAAGATTTCTAATTTCATAACAAATAGGTCTTTTATTAATAAATCATCAGGTTAATTAATAATTTTTAATAATGTTAAAATTTATTTCAATTACTAATTCAGATAATTTTATTATTGTATAGGTGAACAGTTAGAAATTTTACTTTTTCAATTAATTCTATTAAATAAAAAATTTTAACAAGGAGGTATTTGTAATTTTTCAAACTACATGGGATAATTAATATTTTAAGCAAACCTTAGCAGGTGTTTTTGTAATTTACCCTATATTTAATTTATTGCATTTGTCACCAAAACAATGAACGGTTTGTTTTCAAAAATATTATTGTCATCCATTTTTTTTTTAAACAAACGTGATGAATTGAATAAATTACAATTATCAGATCGGCCTGCTTTTGTGAGTGGATGAAACATACGAAGTGTCCGACAAAATGAAAAGTTCAAATCATCAAAACAAAACACGTGGTGGGTCCCACGAGTCCAAACAATACCTTCCAATACAGATTATAGACCCAAGAGAATCCACCTCCTTTTTTAATTACAAAACAATTCGATGACAAAATGATCATTTTCTTAATTGGCTTTGCAACTTTCACGATTATTTTCTCGTTGACCAAACGTGTGACAATTGTATTCTGATAAAATAATAATTCAATTTCATTTGTTTTAGTGAATCAAATACTGCCTATTAGTCTAAAATTTTAGGAATTGTCTTTTATTTACACTTGTTCAGATGTGTGAATAATTATTCTCTATTTTGTTTTTTCTATTTTTCATTGGCCAACTGGCTTCATCTCTTTGAATCATTGTGGTCCAATCTGTCTAGAAATTCAACTGCTTGATTGGTGTTTTTGGAATTGATTTGGATTAGTATTTGGTCTCAACACAGTAAATTAAGATTTTAAAAATAAAAGTATCATTACTGTATTTTTAACAATAAAATTAGAAATTTAGTGTTGAATTACTATCATGTTGGGACTAAATTTTTTGCGTAAAAAATTAAACAGTTTTGGAACGAAATTATTTTGACACTACAAGTGAATTTATTATTGATTTTTTTTTCGATAATCTGAACAGTTCATTTTGTAGGACTCTTCGTAATTTGAACCGTTTATTTTTTAAGATTCGTTTAGTAGAATATTCATGCAAAAAATTAATATGATCCGACATTGATAGTTATATATTTAAATTACATTTGTATTACAAAAAATGAATAACTATTTTTGAAATTATAATCGTCATCAATTTTTTGAAAATAAAATTTGTATGAATATTTTATTTAATGGGTCCTTAAAAATAAATAATTCAAATCACTAAGGTCAAATTAATGAACTTATCCAATCCAAACGTTTTCTCAAGATAACTTGGGAATCCAAATCCAAAAATCAAGTTTATGTTATGGTCCAATTACGATGTGGACTTTTGGCCAATCCAACGAGAGGTTTGGTTTCCATTGAAAACGAAAGCTAATGCTAACGAATACCTTTCAAAATAATATATGAATGCATTCGTTTATTTGGAAAATTGACTCTTTAGTCGTCTTCAAATTCCAAATATAAGAATTGACCAATACAACAAGACGTTTCATTAGTTCACGGTGACCGCGGGTCACGGATCTAATTCTTTAAATCATACCTATTAGAAACTTGATAATTTTTCTTATATTGTGATTATTTTTTAGCAGATTTATTTATTTTGTTTGTAGTTTGATTATTTATTTGATTTTTTAGGATCTTGTTATTTTTCTTTTTAATCTGTATATTATTTATTTATTTCTTGTTAATATAACTGTTTTTATTTTTTATGATTCTCAAAAAATAAATAAACAAACAAATCAAATCAAGACGTTTCATCTTCATTATTGGAAACGAAAGCCTTTCGTCGGAAGGTAACTAACATGCCCGTGGAGACACGAATATGGAGCTTAGACTTGTACCCGACCATATGACTCACGGTGGGTCCACAATATTAAGTTAGATCATATTATAATATGGTGTGATTATAATTAGTATTGTAAAATTATGTTAGAAATGTAATATAATATTTTATTTTATTTTATTGGTATTAATATAGTGCTATTAGTTGATAAGGATTAATCTATCAAATTGAGTGGCTCAATTATTAGATCACTTAGCCAATCGTCTAATATTCACAAAAAAATCTCAAAATATTCTTATTACCGAAAGTCTTTGGGGGCAAAAAGCATTTAACCCTCTTCTTGTTTGGTTTGTTGTAGATGACTCCTTAACGTTTGAAAATATGCAGACACCTCTTCTATGATTTTGAATTGATTTGCAATCAATGCAAATCAATGCGCCGTTAATGTCTATATCAAAAAGACTAATTTACCCTTACATACACTGACACACTCACCTCCCACACACACATGCACTTTCCTTCTCTCTCTCTCTCTCTCTCTCTCCCCAATACATATCATATCACATCACTCATCTCACCTTTTTAATTGAAAAACAAAACAAATTTGACTCAATTTTATTTTAATAAAATACATATAATTTTTTTATATATAAATTCAATTTTTATCAAATTAATATTATTCAAAAAAATATCAATTTTTTTTTTAAAAAATAAGACTAATATTTAACATATTTAACAAAAATTTAAATTAGTAATTCAATAAATATATAATATAAACTTACATAATTAAAATAATTTGTATGATTTGAAATTAATATAAATAAAAATTATTTAGAATTATTTTTGAATAGAAAAATATTATTTTTGTTTACTAAAAAAACGTAAAGACTTATAAAAAAATATTAACTTAAATTGTATAAATAAAAAATACTAATAAACCATACAAATAACAATAATTAAATCATACAAATTTTATTTTGTGTTTTTATTAACTCAAATCATACAATAAAAATAATACAAATTTGTAACACTCCAAAATTTTCCCTCCGCTCAAGTGTAAGAGTTGACGCTCGAGCGGACTTGTGAGGCTCTTAGTACTTTTCCAGTCTGTCCGAGATTCTGAGAGTTGTGAATTTCCGCTCGAGCGCATGAGTGGTCGCTCGAGTGGTCGGCTTTGTTAGTTTGTTTGCTTGAGCGCAAGATTGGACGCTCGAGCGGTCTGCCTGGTTGAGTCTGAATTTCTGGGACTAGTAGGATTGCTCTTAACATTTTTATTATTGTGATTGGAGCCCCCTTGTTTTATTTTGGGACATTTGTCGAAGTGGTAACTTGATGGTAAAGTAAGATTGAGTCAAAAACTTTAATTCAGATAATTTTCTTACGAACAGCCGTCACTTTTGCCCTTTTTCTTTTTCTACACATTGAATTTGGGTGTGAGTCTAGAACCATTGGAAGCTTGCTTCCAAGGCTTCGATTTGGACACAAGAACGACCTAAAACGGAGTCTAGGTGAGAGAGTTATGACCATTTGAAGTTTTGGTATCTGTGTTGGAAGCAAGTATGCTCGAGCGCAGAAAGTGGCGCTCGAGCGGACTGTGTGAATTCAACAACTTAAAAAGTGATTTTCTAGATCATTCTTTGCACTTTCCTTTTCCCTCTTCCTTCCTCTCACCCTAGGTCCAAAAACCCTTCATTTCTTGACCCAAATAGCTTCAATTTCTCAAAGATTTGGCCAAGATCTCTTACCAAAAAGTGAAGAATACATGAAGCTCAACATTTTCAACCAATTGGATTTTGGATTTGCGAACGATTCTTCTTGGAGCCATGTCACAACCCACTCCCCGTACCCAAGGGTTAAGCATCGTGATGGCCAGTAATTGAAGTTACCTCCGGCCAATTCTTGAACAAATTAATAAACACGAGCGGAAATAATATTTAAGTGATGGTACCAAAATAATCATCGGAGTTTCTATTTTTATTACAAAGTTTATTGACCAAAAATGCTGATATTTACATAGAAAAATATCATAAAAGTGTTGTGTATGTCTATTCCGCAGCCCCACCTCTAAGATTTTCTACCGAATGTCACCACGAACCCACTCCCACCACATAACCAAGCTCCACCACCCAAACACATCAACCTGATCCAAACTGCGACCATTCCATATGACCCGACCATATACATCACACCTTCCCACCTACCCAAGCCTGAGGTATTCATCCCAGACAACACAGAGTTGTGCATGTTGAGCATCTCCTAAACCCAACCTGAA